CCCTAACCACCCTAACCTCTGAACACAAGTTGATGAGTCTGTTGAGGCTCAGCCAGTCATGTTAATAAAGAGCTGTGGAGCGCAGAGGGGAAGGAGGGCTCATTCTACTAACCAGAAACAGCTGGTGCAGATCTCAGTGACTGGTTTTTTGGGTGCCTCATATTTCTGAATATTAACATTGTCCTGTTTTTCACCCTCTGTCTCCTTGTTCTTCTCCTTAACTTTTTTCCACATCCATCATTCTTTCACTGGATGGTGGCCTTTTTTTTTCTTTTTCTTTTACTCTCAGCACAAGTCACAGTTGACAACAAAAACAAGACACAGTAAGCGCAAGAAGGCATCCCTCTCGTGCTCCTACGGTTTGCCCGAAAAAGTGCAGCAGATCCTATGGAGATACACTCCTGCACAAGGAGGCTCCACAGAGGTGCCTCTTTTGCAAAGCGGAGTGACCCCATGATTGAGCCACCCTCAGGAAGGGTCTGGCTCAGTGCCTCCCTGTCCCTCAGCCAAGCTCACCATCCAACCTGTGTCTATCCAGGACGAGGGCTGCTACACCTGCCTGTACAACACACATCCTGGCGAACCGAAGAGCTCCACAGTTTGCCTCTCCACCTATGGTAAACATCTTTTTTTCCTGACCAGCTATTAGTGCTGGTGATGATTTTACATTCAAACAATATTTATAAAAATGCCCACAGAGAAATGCAATGGGTGTGCAAACCTTGAGTTCCCCCTTTGAAGAGCAGGTTATATATGTACAATACACTGGCCATAAAGCTGGGTTAAAGGATATGTTCAGACTTTTTCAATACTGTCTTAATACAAAATTCACATGCTCATTATGTACATTGAAAGTGTTATGAGCTACTATGATCATTCCTCCTGCTCAGGTTGTGACCTTCCCTTCCTACAAAAATCAAAACTCCTCATCCTGTGCAAAATGCTTCTTTAACTGAAGATCTTATTTAGGGAATAAACTTTCTCAATTCTTGTCATAGAGTTACAGAGGAAAATTGATACCACTCTCATATCTGTATGATAAATATGAAGGTACTGCTGGCAGCCAGTTAGCTTAGCTTAGCATAGCATAAAGACAACTAGCCTGGCTCTGCATAAAGGTGATAGAATTTTAAAAAAAATTCAAACTATTCCTTTTACTGTCAGCTGAAGTTAAGATGAGGCTTTTGCAGTCTGAGTTTGCCAAGTCAAGTGGGTATCTGGTGGTCACTTGTAGTTTTACTAAACAGCCTGTAATGTGATTTGTCTCACATTAGCTTCCTGAAATGTGTAAACTTCCTCTCTATAATCTCAAAATACAGCTAATGCAGCTACTAATGCTTTTTGGAAATCCAGTTGTTAGGTGTGTGTGTGTGTATGGGGTGTTTCCGAAGCTATCCGACCACCTGACAAACAATTTGGAAGGGGCGTAAAGCTCGCTGAAGATTCACTGACTTTTCATCTAGTGCTACCAACAACTTGTTCAATGATTCATTTAATCACTGGGTAACCCATAAACTAACAACTGGATTTCCAAAAGCATTAGTAGCTGCATTAGCTGTATTTTGAGATTATAGAGAGGAAGTTTACACATTTCAGGAAGCTAATGTGAGACAAATCACATTACAGGCTGTTTAGTAAAACTACAAGTGACCACCAGATACCCACTTGACTTGGCAAACTCAGACTGCAAAAGCCTCATCTTAACTTCAGCTGACAGTAAAAGGAATAGTTTGAATTTTTTAAAATTCTATCACCTTTATGCAGAGCCAGGCTAGTTGTCTTTATGCTATGCTAAGCTAAGCTAACTGGCTGCCAGCAGTACCTTCATATTTATCATACAGATATGAGAGTGGTATCAATTTTCCTCTGTAACTCGTGACAAGAACTTGAGAAAGTTTATTCCCTAAATAAGATCTTCAGTTAAAGAAGCATTTTGCACAGGATGAGGAGTTTTGATTTTGTAGGAAGGGAAGGTCACAACCTGAGCAGGAGGAATGATCATAGTAGCTCATAACACTTTCAATGTACATAATGAGCATGTGAATTTTGTATTAAGACAGTATTGAAAAAGTCTGAACATATCCTTTAACCCAGCTTTATGGCCAGTGTATTGTACATATATAACCTGCTCTTCAAAGGGGGAACTCAAGGTTTGCACACCCATTGCATTTCTCTGTGGGCATTTTATAAATATTGTTTGCAATGTAAAATCATCACCAGCACTAATAGCTGGTCAGGAAAAAAAGATGTTTACCATAGGTGGAGAGGCAAACTGTGGAGCTCTTCGGTTCGCCAGGATGTGTGTTGTACAGGCAGGTGTAGCAGCCCTCGTCCTGGATAGACACAGGTTGGATGGTGAGCTGGCTATGGGACAGGGAGGCACTGAGCCAGACCCTTCCCTGGTACGGTGGCTCAATCATGGGGTCACTCCGCTTTGCAAAAGAGGCCACCTCTGTGGAGCCTCCTTGTGCAGGAGTGTATCTCCATAGGATCTGCTGCACCTTTTCGGGCAAACCGTAGGAGCACGAGAGGGATGCCTTCTTGCCGCTTACTGCTGTCTTGTTGTTGTCAACTGTGACTTGTGCTGAGAGTAAAAGAAAAAAGAAAAAAAAGGCCACCATCCAGTGAAAGAATGATGGATGTGGAAAAAAGTTAAGGAGAAGAACAAGGAGACAGAGGGTGAAAAACAGGACAATGTTAATATTCAGAAATATGAGGCACCCAAACAAAAACCAGTCACTGGAATCTGCACCAGCTGTTTCTGGTTAGTAGAATGAGCCCTCCTTCTCCCTCTGCTCCACAGCTCTTTATTAACATGACTGGCTGAGCCTCAACAGACTCATCAACTTGTGTTCAGAGGTTAGGGTGGTTAGGGACATCTGTATGCACATATTTTCTCAGTAAATCCCCACAGCAGATTGATGTTCAGGTTGTGGGGAGGAGTACCTATCCCTGGAGTCTATTGGAGAGTTAGTTTTCTTTAATTCTAATGGGCCGGTGCAAAAGGCGTACATCCAAGATCAGTTAAGCCAAACATCAACAGGGGCAGATACAATGGAAACTGATGTAAGAACATTTACTTGGTTGTGGAATTCCTCACTTATATCGGTAGCGTTCTCTAACAAATCTCTCAAACTCAAAAACAGCTTGATGTGAATGATATTGATTCTGTATCAGACAGAGGATAGGACACCTTATCTGATTCAAGCATCTGGATTCTGGATATATGAGCTCCCCAGGTCGTCTCATGGGTGAGAGCTGTCTGCCTTTAGTGTGTCACCAGGACCATTTCTCAACTTGGCCACAATAGCAGAGTCATTTCCTGTTTTGCATCGTAGGCTGAAAACTTTCACTGAACTTTATGTGTGTGTGTTGTAGTTTTTGTAAGATTTTGTTCCATTGCAAACAGTTTTTTGAGCACCTTGTGTATTTAAAAAAAAAAACAGTAAATCCCTCCCTTTTAAAATGTTTCTGCTATTAAGTATAGTACCAATAATCTCATACAATATGTGCTTGTTCATTAATTACATAGCATTACCATTAATTCCATTATCTAGTAATCATTCTTTCACATTTAATATTGCTTATGACAGCAAGAGAATCAGTTTATTTCTACAAAAGTCATTCATTCGTGCTACAAAGCATGTGTTCATCTGCCTCCATCCTCCACTCAGATCACAATCTATGTTCTGTAATGTATTGTTAGTGATCCTATGGATTCTCAGATTAAACATATGTAGGTATTATCTAAACAATAACATATTGGTGTTCTTCTGTTGGCCAAAAGTGATTTTTTTATTCATTAAAATCAAAGTAGTTGTCGTTAACAGCCTTACTCACCGGTAACAGTGAGGCAGGTCTGTCCCTGCTTTGAACCAGAAGGATGCATGTCAAAGATGCAGGTGTAGCAGCCTTCATCGCGGAAGCCCACCCTGCGGATGGTGATGGCCGAGGTGTCCTTTGGGGATGCAGCGAGCTCCACATGCTGCTGTCCGCTCACACTGTCTTTGTTGCCGGGTTGGTAGCTCAGCAGGGTCTGGTTCTGGACATCCAGCCAGCGCACCTGCCTCAGGGATTCACCTCGCTCCCTGGAAACACTGCAGGTCAGAGTGAAGGGCTTCTCCACTGGAGCTTCCAGACGCTCTGGTGCAGTTACCCTGCCTGATACATCCACCCTAATGTCAATTACATACTGTACATAAAAATACTCCACTTTGTTGTATTATGAGGTCTCACTTTGACCTTTTTCTTCTCATCTTATCTTGGCACACTCACCCTGTAGTCCTCCCACCAGCAGCAGGAGTAAACACACCTGCAGACTTTTCCTACAGGAGGCCTGGATCATCATCTTCTTCATTGCTCATTTAACATGGAGATGGGGGAGTGGTACTTTGATATGGAGAAACATCAGTTGACATTAGTCAGCCCAACATGAGCTTGCACTCTCCTATAATTTATACAACTCGTGATCCAGCAGTGATACAGAGAGAATGTTTACAAGCTGAGTTAACCTCATTTTCTCAACTCCCAGAGCCAGTTCAGCTCCTGTGGTCACTAAATACTTTCCAACATGTTTAACTGCATTAAAGCATCCAGAAAACTGTGCAGAGAGGTGTAGTGTGAGTATATTTCCCTATATGTGCAACAACATCCAATGTACAAAAAATGTTCAGGTTAGACATATGTTTTAAATTTAGACACGTGAGCTCTTTAGACTTTTGAACTGATTTTTTTTCCCTGCCACATCACTGATTAAATCGACTCTAGGGTGAATTCAAGTCTCCCACGATGGCTTGCAATGAACTTAATAAAATAAATAAACTCTTCAACTAAATAAATATAAAACTATTATAGTTAATTAACAAAGATATACAAGATATACAGAAATTATATAAAAGTTCCGCAGTTTCTGATCAATCAATAATCAAGAGACCTGAGGAGAACTGAATTATCTGTCATACGGTCTATTCCCCGTGTCATAATACACGCACGAGACAAGACACTCACCTCTACTTGTGTCCTAATGCAAAAATTAAAAGCCAGAAGTTGGGGGATGTTCTACCTCTGCAACATCTTGTCCATCCTCAGGATCCAGCAGTCTTCTGAAACTTCACTCCAGCACAGGCTCCAGTCAAAACTATTTTTACTCATCCGAGTGTTTTCTATTTTGCGGACCACCAACACAATGAACACCAGCCGGTGGCAGCTCTGGACTTCACTTTACTGGATGTAGTGGATTTATGTATCCAGGCAAAGCCACAGATCATGTCTTGTGCTCACAGCGCCCTCTAGTGTAACTCCGTGCAAATCGCTTTGTGAGGCAGGTGGAGTTGTATCAGTGTGTAAGTTTCAAGTTTTGAAGTCACACCTCCTGTTGAAGTCAATTTGTAAAGATGAGGTGGAATAATATGAATGCAACCCTTGCAGAAAATACCGTGTTCATGTAGGACTCCACAGTTCATAGAGGATCATAGTGGTAGTAGTAGGAATAGAAGTAGAAGTAGCTAATAGTAGTAGTAGTTGTAGCAGTAGTGCCAGTAGTAGTAGTAGTAGTACTAAAAATTGAAATAACAGCAGAAGCAGTAGTGTTAGTGGTGGTAGTAAAAGAGGTAGTAACAGTAACAGTTAGTAGCAGTAGTACTACAGTTTGCTGTTTTGTCGCCCTCTGCAGGTTAACGTGGTAATTACAAAACAACCTTACGGCATCAAATAAAAACATACAGTAATTAAGTTCATTATTTACCGTGAATAGAAACATATCATATTTTTACACCTAGCCTTAAATATTTCTCTCTAATCTTTTTACTTACATTTTTTTTTGAGACGTCACAGTTTTACGACGGAAGTGTGTTTGTCGGACTCATATCGGTGACGCACCTACGTAGGCTACCGTTGTAGTATGACAGCTGAACAACAATTGCCCTTAAAATGAGCTCATTAGCAACAAAACAAGCGTTCAAAACTTTTCGAGCCTGATTGTATTTTTATATCAGTATGAAGTGAAACTGCCCTCGGCCCTGCTTCACCTGTGCAGTGAGTTTTCGACGGACTAAGGGTTTTTTTAAGCAGACATCATTATGTCGTTCCTGGTGGACTCAGTCATCATGTTCACTTCACAGGTAATGTTGAGTTGGCGAATTTACACAAACATAAACCATTAATTTCTTGATTTTAACAAGAACATTCACAGCATGTCGTGAGCTAACATTTTAATTAATGTTATCTAGCTAGCTGTGTGTAGCTTGGACTCTTGGTACAACGTTTTGCGTTTCACAGAAGTTTTTGTTCGTTCCTAGTTACTGAGTTCACCATTTCAAAACTCCTAACTATTCTATAAGCACATCAACAGTCTGTCTGGACTAAACTGTATGTAGCCTTCATTGCTTTGGTATAAAATGCATTCAATTCAAAATTCATGAATTGTGGCCTAAATGCAGAAGACAGTATAACAGACCTGTGTAAAAGTTTCTGGTCAAGTGAGGGTGCTCTCAAAAAAATGTCTTGAGTAGTTTTTTTTTAATTTTCTTATCTATGAATTAACTTCATGAAACGTGTAGTAAATCACAGCAATATTTGGTGTAACCACCCTTTGTCTTGAAAGCAGCATCAGTTCTTCTCTGTGCATTTGTCTAGTTTTTGGCAGGTAGGTATTTTCAAGCAGCTTTGAGCACCTCTAATCCCAGACTGACTCTGACTGGCTGATGATTGAGATCAGGGCTCTGTGGGGTACAAACTATCTGTTGCAGGACTCCTTGTTCTTCTTCTCACTGAAACTAGTTCTTTATGACTCTTCTGTATCATTGTCATCCTGCAAAATGAATTTGGGAGGTGTCAGACACCTGCCTGATTGATTGTCATGGTTCTGTCTTCCAGTATTGATATACGAGAAGGTGGTCATTTGTATCACGGTTTTGGTCTTGGTTTCAGAATTGTTACCCTCTTTGTTTTTAATGTAGTGTTGACTTGTGCAAAAAAACTTTACAAAACCATTTAAAGACGACAGTGTTATACAGTATTACAATATTGAGAAATGAGTACAATCATCCGTCAAATTAAGATTAAAAAAGGAAGTCTTAATTCAGATTTAAGGTCTGTGATAAATTCTAATACTAAAGTTCTAGTTAAATCTTTTTCTAATTTGGTTATCCTGTCTATTCAAACATGCTTACAAACATATTTGTATGTATTTTTGTAAGAGGCATTGCTTAATTGAAAAACAGGACACTTTAATGTTCACCGTGTCTTCTTCCTCCATATATTTCCCATTTAATACATTACAGGTGCTGTTCTTTGGATTTGGCTGGTTATTCTTTATGCGGCAGTTGTTCAAAGACTATGAGGTATAGTATTATCCCATTCATTTATTTCCAAATAACCACAAGAATAGATGTGTAGACAATTGGCCCAGGCCTATGATAATAATAATTCCAATTGATCTCTGAGCCTGCATCAGCCTCAGGATATCCTCCATGATAAAGATTTTGACTGTCTGTTCATGTGTTTGTTGACAGGTGCGACAGTATGTCGTCCAGGTGGTTTTTTCTGTCACTTTTGCTTTTTCTTGTACCATGTTTGAGCTCATCATCTTTGAGATTCTGGGTGCCTTAAGTAGTAGGTAAGTACATTTTCTATCGGATATAACTGCATTTTATTGCTACTTATGTCTGATTAAGAATTTTACCTCTCATTGTTTGCTACAGTTCCCGGTATTTCCACTGGAAACTGAATCTGTATGTGATACTGCTGGTTCTAATCTTTGTGGTGCCTTTCTACATTGGCTACTTTGTTGTCAGCAACATACGCCTGTGTAAGTACAGCCAGTTGTTACTATTGAAAACTAAATATTTTAACTAAAAATATCTGATGCTGTTGGAAAGATGTTATTTCGCACATGTTACAGTAAACTGTTTGCTGTGTGTCTCTTTAGTGCAGAGACAAAGGCTTCTTTTTGCCTGTATGGTGTGGTTTACCTTCATGTATTTCTTCTGGAAGTTGGGAGATCCATTTCCCATCCTCAGTCCAAAACATGGTAAATGTGCATCCTTCTCCTGTCTGGTAATTACTCTGCAATGTTTGAAACATTGTGTATGCAATACTTTATGGAGGTCTTATTTCCCATGATGTGAGAGTCCTTTATTTGCAAATAGTGTGAAGATAAACAGTGGTGTTGCTGTTTTCATTCTGTTGTTCTTTTTTTAGGCATCCTGTCCATTGAGCAGCTCATCAGTCGTGTTGGTGTGATTGGAGTCACTCTCATGGCTCTGCTGTCTGGGTTTGGTGCTGTGAACTGTCCCTACACCTACATGTCTTATTTCCTCAGGTAAGCTCATCTGGGCATTTGCTCTGACTTTACTCTCAACAGCTGTATCACACACCCTGTTCATCTAAGTTTTCTTATGCATCAGTAATTATTCCATATAGTAATTGTACCTCTGTATGCATGGCAGTACTCAAACACAAGCTCCTGTTGCTTTTATGCTTCTTGCCTCTGTTATGTTCACAGAAATGTAACAGACAGTGACATCCTTGCTCTGGAGAGACGGCTGCTCCAAACTATGGACATGATTGTCAGCAAGAAGAAAAGGTGAGCAAAGAAAACAATCTATTTATTTTTTTGTTAAAGGAAATGACCCAAACAAATCACTATACCACCACGATGTGCAAAGTGTTTGTACTGTGTTTGTGTAGAATTGCCATGACACGGAGGCAGATGTACCAACGTGGGGAAGACCAGAACAAACAGACGGGATTTTGGGGCATGATCAAAAGTGTTACCTCCACCCAAACAGGCAGTGAAAGTATCCTTTAAATTAATATTGAATATTAAAGCAAAAAAGTAATTTTATTGTTACTAAAGTCCATTCAGAAAGTGTTGAGACCCCTTAATTTTTTTCACATTTGCTAAAATAGAAAAAAAAATCAATCAAAGGACCAATCTACAAATCATCAAATACCCAATAATGACAGAATCTTAGAATTTTTGGCAATTTTATTAAAAAGGAGAAACTGAAATATCACATTGACATAAGTATTCAGACCCTTTACTCTGCACTTGGTTGAAGCACCTTTGGGAGCGATAACAGCCTTGAGTCTTGTTGGGTATGTGCTTCTTTCATCTGGATTTTGGGGATTTTCTGCCATTTTTTTTTCTGTAGCTCCTCTCCAGCTCTGCCAGGCTGGATGGGGACTGTCAGTGGACAGATATTTTCAGGTCTCTCCGGAGATGTTCGATTGAGTTCAAGTCAGGGCTGTGGCTGGGCCAATCAAGGACATTCACAGACTTATTCGTGAACCACTCCTGCATTATCTTGGCTTTATGCTTAGAGTCATTGTCCTGTTGAAAGGTGAACCTTCCAGTCGGAGGTCTTGAGTGCTTTGTACCAGGTTTTTATTAAGGCTATCTCTGAACCACTGATATCCTTAGATATCCTCAGAACCCCCACAACATGTTGCTGCCACCATCATGCTTCACCATTGGGGTGGTATTGGGGAGGTGAGAAGTGGTGCCTGGTTTCCTCAAGGCATGATAGTCCATACTTTGTTTCATCAGACCTGATAATCTTGCTTCTCACAGTCTGAGAGTCTTTTAGGTGCTTTTTGCAAACTCCAAGCAGCTGTCATGTGCCTTTCACCGAGGAGAGGCTTCCTTCTGACCACCCTGCCATACAGCCCAGATTGATCGTGTGCTGCAGTGATGGCTGTCCCTCTGGAAGTTTTTCCCATCTCCACACAGGATCTCTAGAGCTCAAGGGACCATCGGGTTCTTGGTCACCTCTCTTACCAAGGCCCTTCTCCCCTGAGTGCTCAGTGCTTGTTGTTCCATACTTGTTGTAATAAAGAGTTATATGCTCTTAATTGTGCTCCGTCGTTCTCTTTGAAGCCTTCAACACAGCAGAAATGTTTCTGTACCCTCGACACAGACAGGCAGTTCCTTTGATGTCATGGCTTGGTTGTTGCTCTGATATGCATTGTCAGTTGTGAGATCTTGTATAGACAGGTGTGTTCCTTTCCAAATCATGTCTTATCAAACGAGTTTACCACAGGTGGACTCCAAACAAGTTACAGAAATATCTTGAAGATGATCTAGATATGGGCGGCACCTGAGCTAAATTTCATGTGTCATAGCAAAGGGTCTGAATATTTATGTCATTGTGAAATTTCAGTTTTAATTCTGTTTTCACTTTCTCATTATGGGGCATTGAATGCAGATTGATGAGGGGAAAAACGGTTTCTTTTGATTTTACCATACAGCTGCAATATAACAAAATGTGAAAAAATGTAAAGGGTCTGAACACTTTCTGAATGCACCACAGACAACTATGTACTAATCTGTACTAATCTGCAGTATGTGTAGTAGATGTCAGCCTTGACTTCTTCCCCCTCCAGACCTCTCTCTGATCCAGCAGGAAGTTGATGCTCTTGAGGAGCTGAGTCGACAACTCTTTCTGGAGACTGTGGACCTGCAGTCCACCAAGGTAACACTTGCACATGCACACGCACATGCACACGCGTGCACAAACACACAAACACACTATGTTCCACTTAACTAAGGAGAAACACAGTTTCGACCTGCTCAGTTTATAGCTCTATTTTATGACCCCTGTGAAGGTTCAGTTAAAGTATAATCTGTGGTGCAGTTTCTTTGCCTACCAAGGACTGCCTGCCCCTCCTGAGAATCAGTCAGCAATGGTCCATCTCTCAAAACAACATTCAGCAACTGTTTGGGAATTTATCAGTTTGCAGCGTTATCACCCTTTAACCTGAGTACAGCTGTGGATGCTCGTTTGTGTTTCCCATTCAGTTATTGTGCACCTCTGTTTGTCTTTGTAGTTTGTTTCTCCCCCACCTCCTCAGCTGATTGTTACTGTGGGCAGAAGTACTGCTGAGAGAGGCTGAAGTCAGTCAAAGACTACAGAGCAAGATAAAAGCATGTGTCATAGGGGGGTAGTGAAGGGGACACAACTGACATGTGTACACTTACTTCCTTTCTTGCTGGCAGAAGGGAGTGATGTCTATTGTCAGTTAATTGAGTACTATAACACCTGTAATACACAAAGCAACATTAATATCCCAATCTTCTGTGCATTTGATGAAAGTCCAATATTTACATCACTGATCTCCTCCAATATCTGGGTGTGGGTAGCATACAGTGAGTTATCACAGCTTCTTTTCTGCAAATGGATTTTTATAGGGGATTGATTAGAGTGACTCCAAAACCAAAACAATGAGCTAAGAGGCTAAAAAGCTCCATAGAGCTGCAGAGTCAATTCTCTGTTGTTCTGGTACCATAAGTGACCTGTTTTACCTTACAGTCATTTGATTTGGTAGTAATATGAAAAATATTGATTAATGCTGGCTAAACCACACCTTACCTAATACCTAGATGCAAGGTTTTCCTGCCTATGCACATGCCTGAAAATGTGCACGACTTTCCCCAACTGTAATTTGAACCAGGTTTATTACTCAGTATCATCACATGCAGTATTACATCACAAGATCTAATAAAAAAAATAAAAAAAAGTGTTTGAAAACTTTTGATAGCATGCTGTCAGGTCTGCTCTAGGCAAATGCCATGGTTCATATACAACATATGAATATCATATCATTTACATCAATGGTTTTCACTCAAATCTATGCCTGATTACATCGTTTAAACTTAAACCAGGAGTGACACCTGGACTGAGAATCATTAGCCCATGCGACTGACAGCCATTACAGACACACATTTATCTATACACACTACGGCCTTTTAATTACCCCATTTGCAGACATATGATAAATCATTTGCTAATTCTTTACCACCACCTTTCCTTATCTTTAGGAGCGAATCGAGTACTCCAAGACATTCCAGGGGAAATACTTCAACTTCCTCGGCTACTTCTTTTCCATCTACTGTGTTTGGAAAATCTTCATGGTGAGGACGTTCACACGTTTTCTAGCACTGTGTCTGGCCCTGACCAAAGTTACATAATCGCTTCTTGTTGTGTTATGTATTGTCTAAGATGTGGTTGAAACATTAGTGGTTTATTTTGAAAATCTCTACTTTGTCTATCGTAGGCCACTATCAACATTGTGTTTGACCGAGTTGGGAAGACGGATCCAGTGACGAGGGGTATTGAAATTACAGTGAACTACTTGGGTATTCAGTTTGATGTAAGACACACACACACACACACACACACACACACACACACACACACACACACACACACACACACACCTGCAGAAGTAGAGTCACATGTCATACAGCATGACCTCCTGTAAAGATAATTGCTCGCCCATTATCATCTCTCTGCCTGCTTTCTCTGCAGTAAACCTGGTCATGATCGCTTTTAATCTTTTTCGATGTAGACAAATTATTTGATTGAATTCAGAGCATGGCATTACATTTAAATTTGAATGAATAGATGATGAATGTAAAATCAAAGATGTCATCCTCTTACCCTACACTAATTTCCTTCATTGCTTTTCTCTTTGTTCTCGATCTCCCTGTCACAGGTAAAATTTTGGTCTCAACACATCTCTTTCATCTTGGTGGGAATAATAATCGTTACATCCATTCGTGGCTTACTCATCACCCTCACTAAGGTAAAACTATCGTATGATACATGTTGGAATGGCTGCATATCTTGAGAATAATAAATCTGTGAGATTTTTTTAAGGGTATGCCTTTTAACATTTAATCTTTTAATAATTTTCAGTTCTTCTATGCAATATCAAGCAGCAAGTCTTCTAATGTCATCGTGCTTGTCCTCGCTCAGATCATGGTGAGTGCATTTGCTTTATAGTTGTCTTATAAGAGAGAGCACAACCTCCAAACAACAGATAAATCAGTAATGTCTCTCTGTGTGTCTTACACTAACAGGGGATGTATTTTGTGTCGTCTGTACTGCTGATGCGCATGAGCATGCCGCTGGAGTATCGCTCCATTGTGACCGAGGTTCTAGGAGAGCTGCAGTTCAACTTCTACCACCGCTGGTTCGACGTCATCTTCCTGGTCAGCGCCCTGTCCAGCATCCTCTTTCTTTATCTCGCCCACAAGCAGGCACCAGAGAAACACATGGCGCTCTGATCCCCGAGTGTGCTTCTCCTTTCTCTTTAATGCGACTCCTGGCCCACAGGGTGACTTTTAATCTGGAATTTAGGGATATCCAGAGATCCTGCTTTTTTAATACAGGATAAAATGATCTGGACTGCCTGTTCCTGAATCAGGAATGGCTGATTGTTGGATACAAGTGATGGGAAACTACTGGAGCACATCAGGGAACAGCTTTGAAGGTGTGCTCTCTTGAATTAAAAGGTATATTCAGAACAACTCTTCCGCAATGAATTTAATTTTACTTGCAAATTTAAACACTTTGGTCTCTGTGCTTTTAAAGTTTCATTATTTTGGCCAAAATGATTTTTTTTTTCTTTTAGTCTGTCTGAACACACTGGAGCTGTACTGTTCACAGCACATCCCTGCTTCACTCACACTGAGGTGTAAAATGTTTTATATGAAAAAAAGATCAAGATGTCACTCATGGTCATGGCCTCCCTGAAGTGGCTATTTTCATTAAAAAATGTGTCATTTAATTGGGAACTCAAACAGATGCACATAAAGGAAGCTTAATTCATATGGTATGTGTTTATTTATTTGTGTTCATAGAAATTGTCACTCATTTACTTTCATTCTAGAAATGAGAACAACAAAGTTTGATTTTTATAGCATTAAATAAAGGCAGCATTTTTTTTCATAGAGAAAAAAATCCAATAAAGGCCAAAGTGTTTACTGGCAACACTGGTAGTGTTAGCTTAAGGTCTGTATGCTGTAGCTTTAACTGTTTTCAGGAAGATGTTTGTGTTCTCGGCCCTCTCATACAGTTGATGTTGCTATTCTTTGATTCAAAGATACAGAAGATATGTCTCTTCTATGATCTTAATTGGAAGAAGTGAAGCCCACAGAGCTGATTAAAACAAAATGGATCAACTTTAGATTGACAAAGGGCAGATCAGGAAGCGTGTCCTTAAGGTGGCTGCTCAGAGTCTTTCATCGAAACTTTCCTGAGATAAAGATGATGACTGAGTTGGGGTCTAAAAGAGAGAAGACAATACAATCACAATTATGTCAAACATTTTTCTGTCAGTTTTTGTTTTAAAAGGTAAACGAAGATTGACACGGCCGGTCATGTCGAAGCCCTTGTGAGTGAAGATTCAGCAAATACATGGCCATATACAAATAAGACCAAGAGTCTATAGCCATGCTAGTGGTTATTTGAAACAGCACTTAGGCAAAGTATGGTGCCTTGAGCTAAAAGCTAATTTCAGCATGCTAACGTGCTGATGTTTTGCAAACCTCATGTTCACAATCTTAGTTGAGTGTGTTAGCATGCTAACTGATACTAAACCCAAAGTACAGCTGAGGCTGATGATAATGTAATTAGTTTAAGTATTGGACAAATTAAAATTTAGGTCTGATGCTAGATGAAAAGCCAGAGGATCACAGAAGTTGTTACAATTCATCGTGAGAGAAACATGAATGTCTGAACCAAATGTCATATCTATCTATCCACTAGTTGGTGATAGAAATATTTCACTGGATAAGTCAAAACTTTGACCTGCTGGTGGTACTAGAGGAAAGGTCAGGGGACCAACAAAGTCAAACAAATCAACCTTCCCATCCCACTAGTGATGCCATGAGCATGGTCAAAAACATTATCCGTGAACATTTAAAAAGCACCACTCACTCTCTCTCTTGATATTTCAGTTGTGATTTCAGGTCTGTCCTCCTCATGATGTCTCTCCTCTGGAGCTTCTGCCGTGTGGACTTGAACATAGGATGTTTCCCCAAGCAGCAGGCGTGTGATAGTCACTCCTTTAGCTTTGAGCTGGTCATAAACGCTCTTTTTAGCCACCAGCATCTCCAGAGAGCTGCCACTCCTGCGAATAATTGCCACCACCTCCTCATGGCTGCTCTGCTCCACATTCAACCCGTTCACCTCCACCACAATGTCGTCGTCCTCCAGGCCTGCCCTCTCTGCCGCTCCACCCTTCACCACCTGAAACCAAGTGCGTCTTACCCCTTTGACTTGAAACAGCGCTGATCAAATAGTAGATGTTCTTTTAAGTCTTACCTCCTTGATGTACTGTCCACACACGCCTTGGATGCCGTTAAGGTGAAAGCCGTATCCAGCTGAGGTCTTCTCCATCTTACAGAGTTTAGGCTTGAGCTCCTCTTCCCTCTCCTGAACGGGTGTGGATGGTTGGACAGGAGCAGGTATGCTCATGGCCTCTTTGTAACTGGGTGGTGAGTTAGCATCCCTCATCTCCTCCCAGAAAAGCATAGGAGACACTTTTCCCTGTGAGGGACACAACATGCCATTATATTGACCTTCTGCAAGATATATTCAAGTTTGACAGTGGCGTCTTTACTCACCTGCTTATACATTTGATCTGTGTCTTTGTCCACCACCAGGAGGCAGCATTTGTTGCCACTCTGCTTGATCCTGTCCACCACCTGCTCATGGCTGAAGCCCTCCACCTCCTTGCCTTCCACAGCCACAAGTCTGTCCATGTCCTTCAGACATGCTCTTTCGGCTGGGCTGCCTCTGTCTATATTCTTGATGAAGTGTCCTGCACAGTGTTAATGAACACACAGTCAAAACACAGTCTCCCCTCTGCAGATTGCAGATCAATGTTAATGAAAGCAACAGTTATATTTAAACTATTCTATTGATCATGGCCTTGCCTGTTTGGTTGGGCTCCTCTCTGAGCAAGAAGCCGTATCCATCAGGTCCTTTGGTCATGTTGCTGATGCGTGGCTTGCGAGGGAGGTACTTGGCTGTGGCTAACCACGCTCCTATCTTCATGCGCTTGTTCTGATAGTATCTGTCTGTTTCATCATCAACCAAGAGGAACATTATACTGCCACCTGCCAGCTTGATCTTGTCCACTGCCTGTTCGTGTGTGGAGTCTTCCATGTTCTCCCCGTTGATTTCCAACAGACGGTCATTGACTTTGATCCCAGCTCTGTCAGCCACACTTCCTGGGATCACCTCTGTCATGAACAAACCCTGCTCACCTAAACAGGATGTTACAGGAGATATGAAAAAAGCAAAAAAAAAAAAAAAAAACAGATAGAGTTCCTGTTCAGTCTGTTAAAATAATAGTACCACTTTATGGTAAGGCACTCTTAATGAATACTTTATAGATAAATGATAAAGCATTGATAAGAACATCTTTTGGTCGCCAGGTTGTTTTCTTTGCCTTTTGTTTGGCTCCTCTTTTACCTCTTACCTTCTGGAAAAGAGCTGCAGAGCAACTAAACCAAAATAGACATACACATTAAAGATCTTCAAGGTTCAAGGTAATCTTTATTATCCCCGAGGGGCAATTTGTTGCACAGCCAGCAGTAAATAAATACGGTAAATACAGTAATCACGCACAGCAACCTACACTCAAACAATTTACACAAAAGGAACACGCACAAACAACTGCTGCTTTTCGCCATTCGTCCAGCGTCAGGGAGTATTGGGGAGTACTACTGCATATGTGAAAGAGGTTGTGTAAAGGCTTTTGTAGATCCAGAGGGAGCTGCGCAAAATCTGATGTGATGTCACTTGATTCAGCGTCGGTTGGGTCTGAAGACTAACAGTCTGAAATGGAAAGAAGTGAGCTTACCAGACCTGCAGCCTACTCCTCCTCATCTCTGCTTGAGCCTACATTAGCCACTACTAGCATACATCCAAATCTCCAACCAAACTGTTGGCAGTTGAGTTGCATTATGGGTAAAGCGGGTGCTAGGATTTCGACATATCTCTGGTTCTGCTGCATTGGCTGAGATCCTTTTGTTCAACTGTCCATCATGAGTCTGACAAAGTTACAGATGTGCCAGGCTAAATCTGCGGATTACTCTTTAAATGTACCTCAGCAGACTTGAATGATTATTGGATAATTGGATTTTATTACGTTATAATAGTGTGTCTTTTTAATAATGGGTTTTTACGATGATCCATCAAGTTTGCAGCTGTACTTGTAAGTAAATAGTGGTATTAAAACTGGTCCAGATGCTCTGCACCTAATTTCCGGAGGGTAAATGGTCAAACAGTCTATTTAAGGCCTAATTAACTGAAAGGCCTGTGTCACTTTGGACAATGATGTAAACGAACAAAAGAGCTTTTTCATACCCTAGAAACCCAAAAGTTGTTCTTATTAATGGCTTATCAGTAAATCGATAGAAAATGCTCTATTAACCATAGAATGAAGGCATTAGTTCCAACTTATAAACCTTTATAAAGGGTTCCCTCTTTGCAAGTTCAGCAAATCTAAAGTTACAATTTCCAACATCAGGTTTTTCTCTTTTGCTAAGAACACAGGTATATTATACACATCTGTGTCATAATTTGTGTTTCTAGGGGGTTTTAGTAGTTTTATCAGCAGCTCTAGATTGCTATCCCCCACCCTAACTCCTGAGCTCACCTTTGACTGAGCGAAGAGAAAACCCATAGCCTGAGCTGGACTTGACCAGGTAGCAGAGTTTGGGTTTTGGAACCTGTGTGGCCACACCATTGGCAACTGGTGAGGTTTGAGGGTTGGACAGGTTTACTCCCTGTGCTTTTGCTTGTTTGTAGGAGGCCTCATCCAGGATGTGGAACGTAACGGATGCTCCACCGTTTCTCACCGTGTCCACCACCTGTTCCAGGGGGACAAAGAAGGCTCAGAGGTAAGATGCTTGTCACAGGATTAACCCATCTTTCGAGGAGTCATCATTGATTTAATTGTTACACTGTAGTATTTCCACATCCTGCTTACCTGCGAATGGGACAGTTCATCAACAAATGTTCCATTGACCCGGAGGACGCGGTCTCCATCTTTCATGCCAGCCAGTTCAGCTGGACCTCCCATTTCCAGGCAGCGGATCAGGTGACCCTCCTCGCCATGCTCCACCCTCAGATAGAAGCCAAACGTCTGACCCGGCCTCTTGGTTAGAGAAATCACCTTCGGCTTGTACCCGGCCATGTCCTGAGACAGAGGAGAGCTTTAACACCACACACACAATAATCACAAATAACATCTTTTAGTGTCTGCCATAAAAAGAGGTAAATCCATTTTTTTTCTTCTCTTTTTTAATTTTTTTTTTTACTGAAGTTAAAACATTTTATCTCTCTTTAGTCATAACATTCATCTCCAGATGTTACCAAATTGGTTTAAACTGCACTTCAAGATAAATTTAGAAAATAGTCTAACATGTCTAGATGACTTGGTGCTTTGAAGCTGTGCTATACACAGATAAACAAGAGACAGACGAGTGCTATATTTTTCAGTTTTCTTAATGTAACCCTTCATTAAAGGATCAGCTGCAGTTACTGGTTTTATTTTTAACCTTCAAGATCTGTCCTCTGTCTCCCCCTTTGCCCGTCACTACCGTCACCCTTTTCTTTGGGCCTAAAGGAGTCATAGAAGTGCTGATAGGTTCAGATGAAACGTTAATCTTGCATGTCAGCGTTGCAGTGGCAGTTAATGATTAATAGCAGGCACAGCTGACTGTGGTGATGACTCTTTTTTTAAAGGACAGGTTGTACTTTGAGTGTCGCTCTAATCCTCTTATTAGACTGTTATTTCCATATCAGAAGGTCAT